ACCCTAAACCCCAGGCGATTAGGCTTTGCGGTGCACCTCAAAGTACAGAGGGGCTTTGGGGTCTCTGCGAGCCATAAACCCTAAACCTGAACCCTAAACCCTAGATCCAAAATCCTATTTTGCAGTCAGCCTGTGGGTAAGGCCTAAACCCCCCTAGATAGATAGAACCCTTCATGTACCCTTACAGGAACCCCCCCCCCCTGCGCCCGCCCCGCCAACCCAACACCATACACAGACCCCTTCTGGAACCTCCATGCACCCTTATCAGAACCCCACCCCCCTCCGAACGAACCAGTGGGCCTGCTCAGGAATGCAGAGCTTCTTGCTCGCATCCTGGAAGTGTGGGCTTTGAGGATTTTGGGTTCCAGGGTTTAGGGTTTCCAGTTCAGGGCTTTAGGGTGTAGAGCTTCGGGGTTAGGCTTCAGGGTCTACTGCAAGGGCCTTAATGATTGGAATAGGATTTTGGGCTCCCTTTTAATAAGGAACCCTAAGGGTTCAGGCTTCAGGCTCCTATCCTGCCACGGTCAGCCCGCAACTCCGAGGGTTTTGGCTTAGGTGGCGTTTGCAGGTATCTAGTTTAGGCCTTTAGGGTCTCAGGGGGTAGAGTCTGCAGTTTAGGAGTTGCGAGGGTTTAGGGCTGAGGGTCTGGATTTAAGGTTTGGCATTCTGCTAAGGACTGCTGATATTTTCTGATGTTCAGGCTACCGTTTCAGAATGCCAGGTCATGAGTACCTTATGGTGGCGGCCGTAAAGTTGGAAGATGCACACCCAAAATTCCCGCACCCCCTGAATGGGCCAAAACGCATCTTCCAACTTTGAGTTCTTCCAAGTTTGCAATCTTCCAGCTTTTGTCTTCGCACAGGAAGCTGGAACACGAAACCAAGTGGGAACAGCAAAAAAAAAGTGTCAAACACACGGAGACACGAAACTGAGAGGCAACAGCAACATGTGTCAGCAAGCCCAAAAGCGAACCCAAATGCAAGCCCAAAGGTGAGCCCAAAACTGACTTCAAAAGCGACGTCCAACAGCAAGCCCCAAAAGGAAGACCAAATGCAAGCTCTAAGGTGAAGCCAAAACTGAGTCCAAATACCACCCAAAAGGGAACCCAAAGGCAAGTCCACAGGGGAGACCAAATGCAAGCCCATTTCTCCCCAAAGGGCAAGCCCCAAAGGGGAGCCCAAATGCAAGCCCAAAGGTGAGCCCAAAACTGACTCCAAATGCAACACCAACAGCAAGCCCAAAAGGAAGACCAAACGCGAGCCCAAAGGTGAGTCCAACACTGAGTCCAAATACCACCCAAAAGGGAGCCCAAATGCAAGTCCAAAGGGGAGACCAACGGCAAACCCATTCCTCCTCCAAGGGCAAGTCCAAAAGGGAGCCCAAAGGTGAGCCCAAAACTGAGTCAAATACGACTTCTCCCAGAGGGCAAGTCCAAATGCCCAAAAGGGAAGACCAAATGCAAGCCCAAAGGGGAGACTAAATGCAAGCCCAAATACCACTTCTCCTGACAGCCACCCAAAATGCGAGCCAAAAGGTGAGCCCAAAACTGAGTCCACATACCACTTCCTCCAAGGGCAAGCCCAAAAGGGAGCCCAAATGCAAGCCCAAAAGGGAAACCAAATGCAAGCCCATTTCCCACTTCCCCGGCAAACCCTAAAGAGCTCAAATGCAAGCCCAAAGGTGAGCCCAAAACTCAGTCCAAACACCACCCCCAAAGACCCAGACCAAATGCAAGCCCAAAGGGGAGACCAAATGCGAGTCCAAATACCACTTCTCCCAAGAGCCAGCCCAAAATGCGAGCCCAAAGAAGACCAAACGCGAGCCCCAAATCCACGCCTCCCAAAGAGCCAGCCCACAAAAGAAACCCAAACGGAGACGACATGGGAGATCAAATGCCACTTTCGCCAAAAGGACCCAAAAGGGAGACCAAGCCCAAATGCAACCCCAAAGGGAAGGGATACACCAAGTGAAACAATGTCTTGGAGCAGTGATTCCTTGCACATGCACGTGCGGGCGCGCGAAATAAGCATCTGGGTTGTTGACCATCCCTTGTTCAGCGGTGTGGGGATGGATCCCCTCAGTGTGGGGGCAGGTGTTTGCCATGACAAAAAGCCGAAGAGAATCAACGTTGGAAGATCCTGGAGAGCGTTTCAGATCTTGCCGGGAGTGCCGGGAATCCTTCTGCAGCAAAAGTGCAAAGTTGGAAGAGCAGGTTCCGGACAAACCGTTCCATTTCCCAGCTTCCAACTTTTAAACGCTCACATTAATTAATTAGTGTTATGACTAATTATGCACAAATTCTACTGGCCCTCAAAACAACACAAAATATTCAGTCTGCAAAAGAGCCGTAAATCCAAGTTGGAACAAGAAAACAAGTGTGTGTGTGTGTATGTATATATATATATATATACATCACTTGCCCGCTATTCCACGTCCGTCCCTCAACCCTAAACCCGAACGCTAAACCCAAAAGCCCAAAGCCCTCAAACCTAATGTAGGGACCTGAAGAATCAGAAGAGGGAAGTTAACTAGCCTCAGCCCTGAAGCCCAACAGCCCCCCTTCTGAGGTCAGTGCGACATGGATCTGGGAGCTGCTTCTGTCCTTGCCCTTGGCGTAGCCACCGTACCTTACATTGTGGCTCGCTGCCGGAAGGATCTCATAGCTTAAAGTTTTAGTTTAGGATCTAGATCAAGGCTCCAGGTTTGGAGCTTAGGATCTACGGTTTACGGCATTTAATGTTTCGAGTTTCGGACGTAGGGTTTGGGTTTAAGGGTTTATAGAGTTCGGGATCTAGGGTGTTGCGGTTAAGCTTTGCAGTTTAACATCTAGGGTGGATTTAGCTTTTGTTTAGGGCTGAGGATTCAAGGTTCCGGGTTGGGGATGCAGGGCTCTGCTTTGACAGTTTGGATGTCGGCGGCATAAGAAGACTTCTGGGCTGCATTGTTCCTGAACAGGGGGTCCGGTATATGCGAGTCTCAGGAACCCTCTTAAGTGGGGCCCCGATGCCCCATGAGCCCTGAACACTCTGCCTGTGCAGCATAAACCCCAAACACGGCACCATAAACCCTAAACCCTCTCATACCGCAATACCCCAAACTCAAGAGACCTAAAAATGAAGATGCTGTACAAACTCAACTAACGCCACGAAGGGCGACACCCCAAACCAGTTTTGAAGGCTCGCGTCTTTTAACAAGCTCTTGCAGGTGTGGGTTTGGGAGTTAAGGAGTATACTCCTGTATGCTAGTTGATTCCTTGGGCTTTTGGTTCGGCTTGGGTGCTTTAGGGCTTTAGGGTTGAAGCTTCGGCTTCCACAGCTCCATGTGGAGAATGAGACGAGGCACATGGGTGGCATCATGCCTCCTCCATATGCGCCCATCATCATGCCCTTGCAAAACAGGTGATGAAGATGGGATCCTAGTTAACGGCGGGAAACCCGAACCTAAACTCCTAAAGGCTTGTCCAAGTCTAAATCCCAGATGCCCTTCACCAGGTGCCCTTCAAACTCAAGGCCGGGTACCTCCAAAGCCGTGAACCAGACTCGCAGATCTTTTAAGGCATTGTCGCAAGCGCTGGAAAGTTCATCTTTCTTCAGGAAGAGTCGGGCTGCGGGTTCAGGGAGGTTTAGGCTAGGGGATGCGAAAGTTCTCGGCAACTGCGGCTCTGAACTCGTTGAGCCCCCCCCCCCCACCTCAACATGCACTCGCGTGCATTCGAAACCAACCCAACTTGACGACTAAAGACCTTGAAACTGCTAGCTACTTCTGTGCTCTGGGTGTGAACTTTAGCAGCTGGGATTGCGCCTGGCCTCGCAGAAATGACCAAAGCAGTGCGCACAAGAATCACGGCTGCAGTGCCTTATTCGTATCATGTAAGTCTAAGACTAAGAATTAAGGTTCTTAAACATGGATTATGTGCCCACAGCAAACACCGACAAGTGACAAGATCGTGAGAAGCATGACCGGGCATGTCAAGAACCCTGTTTTGCTGACGAGCCAGAATGCTTGCAAGAGAGACCTCACGCTGCTGGGGACGCTCTTGCAAGAACGAACGGCGTCAGAAAAGAGTCCGAACAGATCGATCATGACCAGTCAGAGGCTATTTTGCATGTCTCAGGAATGACATTTACCAATGACCCAGCACGCACCCTCAAGCGCTTGCTCTCGTGTGCTACCGTTCGTTGGCTTGTCTGCACTTGAGTGTAAAACAAGACGGAGTAACCGCAACAAAAACAAGTAGCAGCGACATCACCCAAGTAAGACCAACTTGCAACACACAACAAAGCTAAAGAACAATTGGCATCTGTTCATCGCTGACAAGTCCCTTCCCCTCCAAACCCCTTTCTGCTTAGCCCCTTGGGTGCTCCTGCACACATATACACCGGGCCATGACTGATGCTTCGATAGTTCGGAGCAGATACTAAGATTATGAAGTCCGTCGTACCTTGTCATTGTACGTCATGCTGCATCAACAATCAACATTATAAGCAACACAACAACTTCCTATAACAAGAGAAACAAAACTGCAAACAGCTACTGTTACAGTATATTTTCCCAAGCAGCACATCAACATCGTGAAGGGCTCTTCCTGGGTCTTGGCGCACTCCGGGGCTTCCACTCTGAGGCCTTGTGGGTCTGCCTGAATGAGGCCTGGACTTGAGAGCATGCGGCATGCGTTCTTGGACTTTTCCGCTTCCCATCTCGTAGACCCCCGCTTTGTTCTCTTCTCTTGGGCTACAACGGCGACAGGGACTTCTCACACGACTGCGGACTCTGCGCGCGCACCCAAGTTGTCATGTGTCTCGCGTGTGAAGCCCCCGCGATCGAATTCTCGAACAGCTAGCAGCTAGAACATGCAGCATCCGGAAAGCTCTGGATGTCTTGTGACATCAAGAACGCAGCGTCCGGAAATTAGCTTGCGATTGGCACAAGCTGGGATGATCCCCTAAACAACACAAACTGAAGCCTGTAAAATCCTGCAAATTCCGACTTCTTCTACCGGCTCACACGGCACAGCACTCCATCGTCGAATCCTCTGCACCTCGAACCGCAATGCACGATTGCCGGAAGATGGTACATGCTGTCGATCCTTGCATGCCTCCCAACCCCATGGTCTCGCCACAAACTTTGCCTGATGCATTGTCGTCGCACAGCGGCAGCTTGGGTGCCGCCTCAGGGGATCTGACCGTGGCTGCTGCAGCTTTCGGAGCATGTGGTATGGACTGGCATACATGCAAGGTTGCGCAGCTTCACTACGGATTCGGAGGATGCCCAAACTGAATGCATCCGGTGCTTTTCCCCCAAATATTGCTATGGCAGGCTGGTCCTTCAAGGCTCGAAGATCCTTGCAACTCCCGCCATCCTCAACCGAACCCCCCGTGAAACTCCCTAACCCAACTTTCGAAGTTTCCCAAGCGTCCCTCTGCTCCAACTTCGCCTCAGGGTGTCGTGATTCGCCGAGGCGGCACAGCCTCAAGTCAAACGGCTTTGGATAACACTTCGGGCTCTATGCACCCTGAGGGACCCTTACAAGAAACTATTTGTTACAGTATGATTTCATGTAGTCTCGAGGCCTGATTCCTCAGATCCCTCGCAGCCCGGATTCCTTGGGCCCAGGGGCACACGCAGCTTGGCGAGAACATCCAGGCGGGCTGGAAGAAGCGCCTAGGCTGGAAGCTTGCTGTTGGCATTTTGCCTACATTATGTTGTAGCAGCATGGGATTTTGGGTGAACCAATTGTCTTTCGTAGGGGCTGCAGAGGTGGAGTTCAATCTTGATCCAGATCAATCATCAAAAACGTGGACATGGGGAGGGTGAGTTACACCAGGCAGGTGCTGCAGGATGCTTTGACCAAAATCTGAGCGCACAACATGTTTGTGTCAAGAACCTAAACCTAAAACCGAAGAACCAACACACGCGCACACACCACAACACCCAACCTTGAACGTCAGATCTAAAAGCACCTCCTGAACCTCAATCCCGAAGGCCACGACGCCAGAGTCTCAAAACCAAACAAGTATATATATATATATATATAAATGTATTTACACCTATACATATACATATACAATTTCCATTTTCATATACATATACATACACATATACATATGAGCATTGATCAATATTCATGTTTCTGGATATGGTTTCTTCGCGGATTATTGCTTTCCATTCGCGGGACTTTCGCCCTCACCTTCGTGCAACGTGTTTGAGGTAGTAGTAGTAGTAGTAGTAGTAGTAGTAGTAGTAGTAGTAGTAGTAGTAGCAGTAGTAGTAGTCGTCGTCGTCGTAGCAGTACTAGTAGTAATAGTAGTCGTCGTAGTAGTAGTAGTAGTAGTAGTAGCAGTAGTAGTAGCAGGACTAGTAGTAGTAGTAGTAGTAGTAGTAGTAGTCGTAGTAGTAGTAGTAGTACTACTACTACTACTACTACTACTACTACTGCTCTGTTCTGGATTGGATAACTACTACGGCGTGCATTAGGCTGCCAAGGACTTTGTTGCGAAGCTAGTCCTCATCATCATACACAACAAAGCGGTTTTCACCAATGGCAAGGTCTACAAAAAAACACGGTCTTTAAGTATTGGTGGGCGCCTAGCTACCGATGCTGCAAACATACACCGATAACATCATTTCAGACCTCTCGTGAGTCAGGCTTTTGAAACTGGACTACTATCCAAGTATTATGGTTATGTCGATGACACCGCCAGTATTTTCCTTGGAAACCAGGCTACTGTTCAGTCTTTCTTGTCAGCTCTTCAGCGCGTTGACACCGAGCAGTTCAAACGGACTTTCAAAGTGTCATTTTCTCGACTCGATTTCTTGGATCTCTCCATCAGGTATGACGGAGAGCAGTTGAACACCTTCGTGTACCGCAAGCCACAACACAATCCACAGTATCTTCATGCGTACAGTGAGCATCCTTTGCCATGTCGAAAACATATCTTCAAGAGTCAAGTCGCGAGATTTCTGATATTGAACAGCACGGAGTCTGGTTTTCTTGACGACGTGGAATCAATGCGACGACAGCTCGCAAACAGATTGCATCCAGAAACATGGCTTTCACAGGCTACTTACGATGTGGATCGTCGGATGACTTTGTTACACAAGCTTCGAAGTCGGCATCTTCGGTGTGAACCTGAAATCCCGTCGACCTCTTCAGTGAACTGTATTGTCTGCAAGCTCGAGTACAGTAACGTGACCAAACGGCTCGGACTCCAAAAAACATGGAACATGCTGAAAGCTGGATTGTCACGTTTTGACGCGTATAAACAGTCAACACTGCCTGAGGCTACGTTGACAGTGGCATGGAAATGTTCTTTCAGTCTTTTCCGGCAAACCTACCGGTACAACTTCGTGCCGGGGTGAGGGCTGGGTGGGCTTTTTATGTGCATGCACATAAAAAGTAGCAGCACAATATGCAGATCGAGTGCATGTCCTCTCGTGTACACAGTGTACACCAAACTAAAGACCCGCAGGGTCCCACCCGAGGCGAGACGAGCGGCCAATGATGTCTGCCCAGGCTTCGACATTTTCCTGACAGTGCCATTCGCGCTCGCACTGCAATTGCCACTGCTCTATCCGCTACTGCCAAGACTAATCTGCAGCAAAGCCAGCACCACTAGCATATCGGCATCGCTCACACTGGACCGCCCCGGGTGTACTCCGGCCACGTCAACACAGCTTACAAACTGAACCCTAATTAACATCATTAAGGTAAGACTGCTCCAATCGCCAAAGGCTAAAGCCACCAACACCCGTCAGCAGCTCTCTCCCCCCGTGCCAAGACATGTCCATGCATACACCACTCACCTCCACACCGAACGCGCCGTGCCTCCAAAACCCTCGAGGCACAACAAACACTGCCTACTGTACAGAAAGATCAATTAACCACACCATCATCTGTTCTGAGTTCCGCGCCGCGACGTTTGCCGTTTTTTATTTCTGGCCATTTTTCGTGGAGTGGTGACCTAGCGGTGAGTCCGAAACTGCGTGAAGCCCACTTTGAAGGGATGGGATGTCGTCTAGCGTGGTAAGAAGAAAAAATCTCAGACTCTGGCTCTTTTCTGCTCATCCTCCATCGCAATCACGAAATCCTCTGGAAGCCTTGCGTGAGGCCGGGTTTTCCATCTCTGAAAAGCAGTGAGGACATGCACGAAATAACTAGAAATTGTGCCCCGAATCATCTCTACATGCATTCCACCTGCAATGCAGCTCCAAATCCTGTTCTAACCAGTAACGTCCCATTAAACTCCGTGAAGAAGTTTCATGTTCCATACAACACACATCGCCAAGCCACAATTGGCGGCAGGCCAGGGAGCTTGCGTCGCCCAAGCGGGTGGAAAAGCGGTGGAAAGCTCTTTCTGCAAGAGTGACAGCAAGTCCTGCACCGAAAACGATCGAGATGGGGAGCTTGGGGAATGCTGTCGGCTGCTGTCGATTCCTGTACGAAGTGTTGGGCCTGATTAAACCTAAGGGACCCTTAGCTGCTCCTCCGTTGCGCCGCGACATCTCATTTCCATGCTGCTTTCGGATATAGGCAGCCAGAGCATCGCGTAGGCCAGGGACGAAAGATACTTGAAAACGAGCTTCAGCAGTATGCTCACCTGAGAAAACGATCCACAAAACGAGCCTGTTCCATCTGAGTGCACCTCGGAAGTCTTGCAACCAGGCGACAGATTTCCGCCAATTCTTCGGCACTGTAGTCTTCAAGCTGCAGCACCGAGGAAAAGCGACAACGAAGCCGGGGGTCGCAATCCATCAGAACCTGATCTTGGTCTAATTACAAAAACATGCTGAATCACCCACTTGCCCGCTCGGCCCGGCTCCATTCAGCATCTGGCTTGCTGAACTGATTCTGGCTGCGCATCGCCCAGAACCATGCGATTTGTTATGATATGGGCTGCCCTCTCAACCGAGCTCCCTGCATCCATTTTGATTGCATAGCCGGCGAGGACTACCTGGGCTTCGCATCATGCAAACATGTGCAGCTAGAAAAATGCGCAATCGCCTGCAACCACCAACAACTACATTCAAGAGATGCGGCCAGCAACCCTGTGCGATGATTTTCCAGTTCGGACAGAAGAGTCCGAACCACTCCACCCTGATCGGCCAGCGCGCATGCCTCCGACTGCAACATAAGCGCAAGACCAAGGTTACCAAAGATACCAAAGTGACAACGACATCAAAGCCGAAACCAAACTCCTTTAAGCCTTCCTGGCTGAGTAAGGCCATTGTGCATCTTGACTTGAGCAGACTAAGCATCACGGACAAGGCTTAGAAACAAAGAACCGGCCCAGGATGCCGGACAGAGCAAGGTAATTGAAGATGTTCTCAACGAAGCGTGCGAAGAGCGCACATGTGGGTGTTAAGTGTCCCGCTCAGCCTGGGGAGGCACAACCCGAGCATGCCTCGTCAATAAAAAGGCACCCTCCCACAGCATCACCTTTGCCGAGCTTAGCTTGCCAATGGAAGCACAAGGAAATGGAACAAATGAGACTTCGGAATGAATGCAGCTGCAGTGACGCACGGCTTCGACCACTGTAGGCGCAGTCAGTCCAACAAACTGTCCTTCGCACGAAGGCGAAGGAAAAACAAACGACTCCCCTACCACAGCATAGCCCGAGCGCGGACTCCCGTTTAAAGGAACCGCCCTCCGTCTTGGGGTGCCGGCGCGTGCAGCTCTACGAATGTGCCACGGTGAAGCACTCCGTGTGCATAGAGATATCGGCCGATGAGCCGGGCAACGGTCTTCTTGCCCGTCCTCAGAAGGATGCAAAAAGCATCTTTTCATGATCACTGTACGAAACCCACTAAAGGCGCCACTGATCTCCAACTGCTTGGGGCGCATGGAAGCTTCTTGGGCACAAAATGTCTGAGTCTAAGCGTCATGGGGACAGGGTGATGATTGACATGGTCAAGTGTCCCTGGATTGCCGGTCAGCCTCAAGTTCAGGCTCCCTTGTAGATCTCCGCCACGCCCAACCAACCCCACGGTTCGGGAAAGCTCGGAAAAGAAGGCTTTCACATTGGCCATGCCTCAGAACGAAATGCACAACTCTCCAGCCCCTGACATAGCCTGTAATCCTGCGCCCAGACAGTTTGTCCTAGAATGCGGAGGCCACCTGTGAGGCGTTCCACGTCCTGCTTCACCCGCTTCCATAACTCCGGATCGCCCACCGTACCGAAGTCGGCGGCCGGGGAGACTGCCACCTTTTCTCGAGGCGGGCGACGCGAAGCGTTTAAAATTAAGTGGACAAGTAGGGTAAGTTTAGGCTGAGCAGGGCTTCGGGCTTCAGCTCAAGCCTTCGGGTTCATTGGTCGGGGTTATTCAGGTTTCGGGTGATTATAGAGCTTCGAGATTACTGAATAGTTTTCGGGAACTTAGCACAGTTACAGCTCAGTCAAAACGCGAGACATGTACACCTAAACCTGAAAACCCACCTAAACCCTTGTAAACCCTAAGACCTACCCAGACAGTAAACCCTAAGCCCCTGCTTCGGGGCGCCTGCAACCTCGACGCCGTCGGGCTCGATGCCATGGTGTCTGAAGGGCAAGGGAAGCCGATCGCCTGATGTAGGGGCCTGAATGTATAGGTGCTATGTTTCTGGGCAGAAAGTGTGCTTGAGGATCCAAGAACCTGCTGCTGCAGGAGGGTTGTATGTCCTGTAAGGAAGTGTCCATAGCCTTGGGTTTGTGGCCTGGTGCCTGCAAAGAGTTCCTTGAAGGGTTCACAGGCATCCCCGGGGGCGAACTGCATTGTGCTGGAGCCACTGCAAAATGTCAAGGAGACTTACAAGTGCGAACACGATCACGACCAAACCCACTGATTGTGGGCGTAGAGTTCAGGGCTCAGGGATGTGCAGGGCTTCCTGTTACGAGGCCTCGAACGGTAGGTGGGATTCAAGCCTCCTTTTCCAGTACCTGCGTCCCACCTGAGGAGCCCTTCAATTCTACTGCCTCTCGCAGTTCATGCATTGTGCAGCACAAACCTTGTGCAAGACCTCCAGGGCTTCAGGGTTTAAGGTGCTGGGTTATGTTTGCGATAAGATGATTCGAAAGTCGGCGGTGATGCACCAAGCCCGGCCCCCAACTCTCGCAAGCTTCTCTTTCAACATTTTCAACTTCCAGCAGCAAATTTGTCGAGTGAACCGCGGTTTGGTCGTCACCACAATGGAGCAGCAGAGTGCAGGTCAACACAGTGCAGAGGTAAGTCCCAAACTGAGTCCTCGCGCAGCAATGAGCCAATGAGCTGGGCGACACAGCGGAACTGCTTGACACCACAAACGAGAACACAGCCGTAGACAAACCGAAATAGCCAGGACTTTTGGGCGATGCCATTGTCGTCATTCCGACCCGGCTTTCTGAATTCCTGCCCGCAGGTCCAAGATCCTTTTCTGGACCACAAGCAGCATGAATGTGAGACTCAATAGCTCTGGTTTCTGTAGGCCAGCATGTTTCCAAGCCCGACTCAGAGCGAGCATCCGAAATGGATTTCTAGTGCTTTGCTTGGTTAAAGCAATGCATAGCAACCAAAGCCCTTATTTTGACAGCTTCATCCTTCAGAATCCGGCACCGATACTTACTCAACCCTAAACCCCTTAACTCTAAATCCGCCAAACCCTAAACCCATGAGCCGCTGAAGCCCTTAACCCCAGACCCATACCGGTTAAGATTAAGGGTTCAGGGCCTCAGCAACCGCCAGGTTGCAGGGGAATGCCACGGGATCGTAGCCACCTGCCGAAAGCATCATAACCCGAAACAACCATACACCCTAAACCGCAGAAGTTTGGACTAGGATGCCTCAAGAGTCCTAACAAGGAGCAAGAGTCTACACACAGAGAGTGCGAGTACAGAACTGTTGAGGGTGTATATACATACATACACGCACGCAGGCGGGCAGGCAGGCAGGCGGCAGGCAAAAAGACAGACATGCATGTGCATTTATGCATGCACCTATATATACACATATAGTACACAGATGTACATACATGCATGCATGCAACCATACATACATTGTACATGCATACATACATACGTACATACATACATACGTACATACATACATACACACATACATACATACATACATACATACAGGCAGACATACATATATACACACATATATAAACAGATCCGTACATACTTACTTGAAGGATCATGGGACTTAGTAAGTAGGTTATAATTGGGGTTATAAGTCCCCTATAAGTGGGGTTATCCTAATTATAACCGACTTATAACCTTACTTACTAAGTCCCATGAGCCTTTAAGTACCATTACAATACATTCCACTGCATTACATGTGCACTACAGTGGTTTGCATAACATGCATCAAAGCTACATGAAGTTGACGCGTGTGAGGCGCATGCACGAGCACCCACATGCATCATGCGTGCGCCGAGTTGGGCAAGTTTCCTGCGCGGAGGGATGCTCTAGCGCACGGGCAATTAAGCTAACATACTGCATCATGCTGGAACCTATGAGCAGTCCATGTTGACAGCAGGAAGAGCTCAAGACATCGAACGAGATGCGACGCACATGCAGCAACCTAAGTCTGTCACACAGGCAAACATACCAAGCTCTGACACACACACGAAAGCATATCAGGAATCAGTGGGGCGTGGGACTGTTCAAGGACGACAGTGGGCCTTAAGAGGTCACTATTGGCCTACAAAAGAAAATCAAGTAACTCAAGCGAGTGCAATGTGTTGGCCTGGAGATTTGCACACTTCCCTTCTCCCTATGAGACACACCCAATATGCACTTACCGGAAGAGAGCACAGTGCATACACCGACATGCAGAAGAAATGCACGTACAATTGACGAACTTGTTATCTTCAAACAACAAACGAATGCAGAAACCCTGCCGAACCAAGACTCTCAACTCAAAGCCCTGCAACCCAAGACTTCAATCCCCAAAAGCATTATCTAACTATGGAAGCCAAAATCTATGCAAGAAAGCTGCAACATCATCCACACCTTGACCCTACACCCACAAACATGGGAAAGAGTCTCCACAGCCCCCTCTGAAGTCTTTTCTGCTCTGAGGCTCCGGACACGACTTGCGGGACAGCTCGCGCCTGCCGAGAACTTGGGGTGCTTGGGGTTGAGGGGTTTGGGCTTCCTTTGGGAGTTTCATAAGGGGTTGTGTTGGGGTTTGACATTCAGGTGTCCGTTAGAGCTAGTTCCTTTCAGCGTTTTATACGGGTTCTATGTTTGAGGATTTAGGGTTTGGGGTTCGCTACCGGGGGGTGTAGGACACAAAGCGAGCGTGACCACCGAAGTCGCAGCAGAAGAGCAAGCACCCTGTGAGAGCCACCTTCGCAAATACAGCAGGCATGCCCTTGGACAAATACGAAGTTCGGCATGAGGGCAGGACTTCGCTTCGCTAGGGCAGCTAGGGTTTGTGGCCAAAAGCTTGGGGTTCCAGCGGCCTACACTCTCCGATGGCTCTGCATGCAGCATCCATGTCACTTGCGAAGAACAGTCAAGCTACCGCCTCTCGATATTCGCACCCAGACGTGGCGTGAGTGAAGGTCGGATAGCACATCAAGCCCCAAAGTGCATGATGCATCGCAAAAGCGGCATAACCCCCATGTCGCCTCGGAAGGCCCCGGTCGCACCCATCATCTGTCATGCAAGAATTCAAAATCAGAAACCCAGGCTGCCGGTGTCTGCCCTGGATCTATAGCATCATCATCTCAACTAACAGACGCGATGAAGAAGTCTCTCCTTCATTGCCCCCTGCCTGCAGAGGCATCGGTAGTGGTCATCATCGGCCCCACGGCATAGATCGGGCCTTTGAGAAGTCTTCGATCTGCTCACCACTCGCCACATGTGCTTCCTCTTAGCCTGGGTCCTGCACTGCTGCTGTGTTTTGGTGAAGGAACTCGGTTATTCAGAAATGCTGAGGCAAGGGCGTGCTGAAACAACGTGTGGCGCATTGACAAAGTGCTGCGCCATCTGCGCGATCAACCCGGAGCGATGCCGACAAGATGCGTGAGCTGTGCTGAAACGATACAAGTAGCGATGCCGAGGAAAGTGCCGGAGGAGCAGCGGTAAAGCTCGGACGGCTCACCTTCTCAGAGTTTGAAGTCAGTGGAGCATACCCGTGCCGTGCTTTGGGCTTGGGCTGGCACCAGTCTTCTTGCTTCAACTCTGCTGGCCTCCCAGCAATTCGGCCAGGAAGGTCAGTGCTTCGTGCAGGTCGGGCAGCACAGGCACATGGCCCAAACCAGCAAGAGTAAGACATAGGCTCAAGGTTCCAGACTACGGCGTGGACTTGGGAACGCCGTCAGGCTTCCGTGATACGTGCGGACTTTGGGCGTCGGAGGTCGCGAGTTGAGAAGTTTAGGAAAAATCCGCCCACGAAACCTCGCACCCCGAACATCTTGATCCTGCCGTCCCCTCCATTCCAAGCTGAGCTGCCAGAATCTTCAGGGACTCCTCCAACCTGCCGGCAATGACACCAAGTAATGAGGATCAAGAACCCGATGTCAAAGTAGGAAGCAGTCTATCTCTTCTTACCTGTTACCTGGACATGCATATTATGCATATGTCCAGATGTACCGTCATGCGGTGGCATTGAGACAGATCGCGATGGTCTGAGGTGGCTTGGCTTCAGACTCAGCGCTGTGGACCACTACAGGTCGTCATGCAGCTGAGATTTGACGAGACCTACATGTTCAAAGACAGGTGCAAGGCTCACGGGTTTAGGATTTTGGATTGAGAACGCCATAAGATGCAGAAATCGAAACGGGGAGCACGACAAACAAAGAAGACATAACACGATGTGACCGGCTTCTCGCAAAACATGCCAAAGGCAGAAACAACGCTATGCATGCAAAGCACTGCAGCATAATTGGAACCCATCTTGCAGCATCATAGGGAGTCACAGACTCTCATTTAGGGCTTCACAAACAAGGAAAAAACCAAGGCAATTTGAGCCCAGGTGCTGCGGCTGCAGCACGTCCGCGCGCACCGCCTGTGAGGGCTCACGCTTGCTAGTTCCCAACTTCCCAACATCCTCAAATAGCTACTCGACACTTTTGTACATGGACTCGTTCGTCACGAACGAACTCTCCGCTTTCAGTTCGGCGCATGCTGTCGATACCCTGCCAGGCCTGCCATGAACCCATCTCCCAACCTCTCCCGGCCAAACAGCACAATCCGAACTAGCACAAAACTCTTGAAGAAACCCTCGCGTCCGTGCCTCTCCACCCTCTTCCTCTTCTGTTACAACCCTCTAGAAAGGCCCCGCGCCTCCGCCTCAGCCTCCGCTCGGCGACGTGCGGCTGCTTGAAGTTCGGCCTTCCAGGGCGTAAGGGAAGTTCGAAGATCGGCCAGGCCGATGCAATACCATCGGATGTGAGGCTTGCGTGCCATTTGTCAATGGCAATTCCCGGGCCTCTGTTTCCACGCACAGGCGGCGCGGAAGCTAGGCTGCGCAGAAGGGTGTGGAGTGGACTGCAGGCGCTCCGAGGTTCTATTCTCCATCTGTTTTGGAGCTTTCCCCTGGACCCTAGACATCTTTCACACTGA